ACAGTGTATTCTTTTTTATTCTTTTCTTTCTTTGCATGCATATGACAGTTTTAGAAAAAGAGAAAATAAAGTTTGGTGAGACTAATTGCCAAGTAACAAGCCAAAGGTCTCATAATTCATACGAAGTTGAATAATGAGTTATCCAATACTCATAACATCTCTTTTTTCCTACTACTACTTAAAAGGAACCAAATAAAAATGAAATAATACTCTTTAACATTTACGAACTTAGGTGTGCAAGGGATTCGTGGTTAGTCTTAAATAACAAAAATAAGTATTAATTTTAATATAAGGAAAACACTTCCCTGTATGGAAACCAATCAAAGTAATTACTTGTACAGAATTCTGAATACATCGTCTTTTCCTCATCCTTGTTTTTAAAAGTAGTTACCCTGTTCTTTATTCAAATCCTAAAAATAATTCTACCTCAGATTAAGAAAAATTTCTGCATGTGCCAGTAATATACAAACTTAAAAAGAGTAACAGGGCTTCCCCCAGTAAAATCTTACAGGAAAATAAATCTACTTGAATAAAATAAACTCAATAGTCTTACCTGATCATCTAAAACTGGGAGAGACAAATCAAGGAAAGATTCATGAACCAAGGAGACCTTAACCAATCAAAAAAGACAATGTAAAAATGTAAATACTGTAAATGTTACAGAGTAAGCTACTCCCTGCCCTGTGGGATGGGGGGTAGGGGGAGGGTTTTAAAATAAACAAAGGCTTAAGAAAATTTGAAATGAAAAATTACACAACACTGAGGACTTTGGGTTGGGGAAAATAAATCAAAATGTTTAACTTCTTCAAGAATTAAGGAGTGCTGACATTTCCCACAAAGAACCATGCACATCTGAATAGTTTAAAAAGATATCCTATGAAGGTAGAGATTTCTATTTTTGAAATAAACAATAGATAAACTACTCTATGAATATTAGTGAATAAACCCAGTACACATCACATCTACTTACAGTTCTGCATTGATCACACATGATCGTACTAGTTAGTTCACCACCAAAGATGCGGTCAACAAAACTTGGTATTGATTTTTTCTTCTCATAGTCTAAGGAGAAAAAAAAAATTTGTCAATTACCAATTACCTTTATATAATTAATTAAATAAGAAAAACTAAAACTACTTACCTATCTAACTCTAAAATTTTATTTTAAATTTCCTGTCCCACAGACTTCTTCCTCCATTCATAATCACCATTATTTCATTTTTATGCGATAGAAGTCAGTATTATATATTCCACCTCTGAGCATAACATAATTGAACACAATCACCTTTTAGGAATAAGACAAAAAAGTCCTTATCCAAGACCTAGTCAGTGGGCAGTAAACTGTGCAAGTCAGTGAGACTTCTATGTCTCTCTCTCTGTTAGTATAAAATGAACAGCTCGGACTAAGCTGAATGACAGTCTAGCTCCTTAGTTTTAGCTCTAACATTCTAACATTCAAGACTGATAAAAGCTACCACAGTAGCAAACTGGGAGAGAAAATGCATGTAACTTGTTTTGTGAACTCTTAAGACCGAAATCCTTTGATATTTTAAAAACAAAAGAAAAACCTCAGGAAAATGTTTCAAACAAAATCTTCCTTTTATTTTCCTATGTTTCTAGAAATAATCTTGATAAGTTTAATCTAACTAAAAGCCCTAATTTTACTACTCGGTCAGCCAATTTTCCAAATACGTGAAGCCTATAAGCATTATTCAAATGACAATTTATGCAGAACCACACTTTTACGACAGAAAATGCCAGCGGGGATAATTCTCTTCATTACTGGCCAGGCTCTAAAGGGCACCAAGGAGGCAAAGAGTTGCTATTAGTTGATTCAAATCTGTGCTTTATAATACAGTAGCCCTTAGTCACTTGTGGCTATGTAAATTTAATTACAATTAAATAAAAATAAAAATGTAGTTCCTCAGTTTCACCAGTCACATTTCAGGCGACACACGTGCCTAGTTGCTTCTATACGGGACAGCAAAGATACAGAAGAATTCCATCAACACAGGAAGTTCTACTGGGCAGATCTGTCCTAAATCTTTACATGCCACATAATAAGAACTAAGTTGGCTCCATGATTAATACCAACTACTGACAACTCACAGTAACAAATACAATTCATGTATTACTGCTAATTATAATTTTAAGCTTTTGAAAAGTAAAACTGTAATTCATCTTAGCTCTATCTTTAATACATAAAAAGAATACACCACAGGTTAAAATTGTCCACTTTTGGAATACTGAATAATTTTTACTAATCAATGTTGATAAAGAGAAATTATACATTAATAATTGTGGACTTGGAAATACATGTGCCAGCAATCTTGTCCTAAGATACAGAGGATTTCAACTATAGTGTTTTAGTTCAAAAAGTCAGACATTACCTTTAACTTTATTTTTTAGTTCTTCATCCAATTTTTCAGTAGAATTACCAAATGCTTTAAGTATTCCTTTACTCACTCTCTAAAAGTAATAAAATGAATATATATATACTATTAAATTTTAAATTTTATTTTCCTTAGAAAATACGTAATCAAGTCAAGAAAGTGATCAGGATACAGCTCCCCATTTTTACTAAATAATTCCAAAATCACATTTTCAAAATTAATTCAAGGACCTAAAAAGGAATTATGCCGCAAAGCCATCACTAACCATTGAATAAAGGTATTATCTTATCATTTCAAGATCTTAAACCTTTTCAAACCACAGCTTATCAGAACATGCCCGCCTCCTTTGAAAAGAAACTGAAATAGCTTGTCCTACAAGCAGAATGATTACGTGAGGGCCACAGGGGCTGACTCCAGTGCTTAAAGCCCAGCTCCATTATTTCTGGGGGACCTTAAACTATGTACTGAACTTCTTCACAGCCTAGATTCTCTATCTATGGAATAGGAAAAAAATCACAGTATCCACCTCGCAGAAACTTTGTGAGAACGAAGTAAGGGAATTAATACAAAACATGAAAACAGTGATTGGCATAAAATAAGTGCAAAATAAATATTAGTTATTATCACTATTATGAGTACTCATTAATTCATATCCCCAAATACATTATTTTATATCCTGGCAAATAACAAAAATTTTAAAATGCAACAAATGTTCCCTGACTCCTACAAAATGAAAATACTTTCTAGATTCAAAAAACAGTGTTAAATCAGACTCAGAATAAGAGTAAGGGTATGCTGCACCTGGGAACTATTTTGGGAGAAACATTTTCCAACATTTGGCAGCTCTTCTCATAGGTTAGTACAACAGAGCCTTTAAAGAACATTAATGCTGTAAACATCAACTAAACTTAAGCCATCATGAGAAAGAGAATCACTGCTAATTCTCTGGATTCATTCTAATGGTGAAAACATACTAGTTGAAAAAGCTGGTATAAGAAAAAATTTAAAAGTATGATGGCCTTAATATCTAGTTCTCATTGTTTTAACTCGTAAGATATCAAATGAGACAGACAGCTTATGAAGATAAGATTATAAAATACAATGGTCGTAACATGCTAACTTGGTGTTCTTCTGCTCTCATCCCATCCAATAAATAGCGAAGCAGCTCCTGGCTGTCTTGCTGCTGATAGCCTTTAAACCGCACTGCTCTGGAGAAAAACAAAAAGACAGAAAAGCAATCTTCAGTCTACTAAGATCTGAAGCTATTTTTAGAAAATCTTAGGATCATATTCCAAATCTCAGAGAGTTCTAGTTTCTTTTCTTTTTTTTTTTTTTTTTTAGACGGAGTCTCACTCTGTTGCCCAGGCTGGAGTGCAGTGGGGAAATCTCGGCTCACTGCAAGTTCCGACTCCCGGGTTCACGCCATTCTCCCGCCTCAGCTTCCCAAGTAGCTAGGACTACAGGCACCCGCCACCACACCCAGATAATTTTTTGTATTTTTAGTAGAGACAGGGTTTCACTGTGTTAGCCAGGATGGTCTTGATCTCCTGACCTTGTGATCCGCCCGCCTCACCCTCCCAAAATGCTGGGATTACAGGCGTGAGCCACCGCAACTGGCCAGAGAGTTCTAGTTTCTACAAATTTCTGTTTAGTCCATTAACACCCTTGGGAGATATAACTATCACATAAAATATATTTTAAAATCCAAATGAAAAAAAACTATGCGTTTTGTATACAGAGGGTTGACTAAATGTAATGCTATTAATATTTTTATATTTTTATATTTTTATATTAATATGATTTCTCAGCATCTGAGGCACTGAAAGCACAATCAAAGTGGATACTCACTTTTTACAGACCTGAGAAAAGAGTTCTTTAGGTGTCACAATCCCCTTTTTGGTCTCTTGCATCTCATTAAGAAACTGGCTCATGGCTAAAGTAAGAGGGCCTGGAGGCTCAAGGTTTATTTCTAACGGTTCCTGAATATGGGAAAAGAAATTACTTTCTTCAGTCAAATTTTGGAATCATTGACTTTACTAAAATCTAATTAGTTAACATACACTGTCAATGTTCCTGACAGAACTGCCCCATTTAAGTTTAAAATGTACATCAAAAGATACAGAAACTGTTTGGTCACAGACTGTCTTATGCAGAATTCAGCTCTACTATTTTAGTTTTAGATTATCCGGAACACTTACTACCTAAGAATTGAAAGAGCCAAAGCAAAATGTAAATAATAAAAATGGATAAGGCAATATTTATTTGATTACACAGCTCTTAAGTCACCTTAAAGATGTTAAAAATAATAAGGTAAGCCTAAGGCTTCACAAACATATACACGTTCCCAAGAAGGAAGCTTAACACTCGAGCACAGAAAATCAGAGCACACACAGAGCAAACAGATGTAAAGGCTCCTTAAAACTTCTATTAGCCTGAAACTGTTTAACTTAGTAGCCTAAAGTAAAACAAAACGAAAACGGTGGACATGAGTGCCAATTATTTAAAATAATTTAGACAACACACATTCAGAGAGGAAAGTTACAGATTAGAAAAGTTTAAAGAACATACTGTTAATGCCAAATCAGGTGGTTCAATTTTTACAATTGTTCCAGACATTTTCACTTCTTTTAATAGTTCTCTAAGCACTGGTGTTTGTGACAAGTTCTAGCATGTACGGTGAAAAAAAAAGAGAAAAATTATTTAAAGGCAAATCAACTTAAACACTTCGTAAGTATCTATTCTATCAAAAAAGAAAATCATGACCAACACTAAAATCTCTATTGTATCTGTACTCAGAAAATGAAAAGTTACAGACGCTTCTCTCCCAACTCTATTTGGGTCATAACTACTTCATTTCTGAACTTATTCATCACCTCAGTGGGGAATTCTCCCACCACCCAATCAGAAGTAGCTATCCCCAATCCTCTACCATGATTCTCTCACAACCACTTACCACCACCTGTAGCTACATATTTGCTTCTGTACGAGGTTATCCTGTGTTTCCACCACCCAAGTGCAAGCTCCATGAAAGAAGCAGCAATATTTGTTTCAAACCCACTGCACCCGAGCGCTCACCAAACTGTCTTACTGTTACGTAATAAAACTTTCCTTAAGTTTTCTTTGGCCAGGCGAGTTGGCTCATGCCTGTAATCTAAACATTTTGGGTGGCCAAAGTGGGTGGACTGCTTGAGCCCAGAAGTTCAAGACTAGCCTAGGCAACATGGCGAAACCCCATCTCTACAAGATACAAAAACTAGCTGGGAGTGGTGGCGCATGCCTATAGTCCTAGTTACTCTGGAGGCTGAGGTAGGAGGATTGCTTGAGCCCAAGAGGCAGAGGCTGCAGTGAACCAAGATCGTGCCACTGCACTCCAGCTGAGTGACAGAGTGAGACCCTGTCTCAAAAAAAAAAAAAGAAAAAGTTTTCTTTGGATACATAGAAATAAATTACTTAGGGGGGAATTAAGTAGCAGATTCTATAAGGAAAAGGACGTGTTTTTTTTTTTAAAGGGAAAAAAATGACAATGTACCTGCATAACTGCATTGAAGAAACACGTGTTTCCCAAATTACTGAGTCCTTTCACAGTTATCTGGGAAGGAGAATTCATGGGAGGATTCTCTTTAGCCATGTTTTCCTTCTTTTCTCTCTCTTGTTCATTTTTACTCTCTTTTTCTAATTTTTTATTTTCAAGTTCAATATTTCCATTATCTTTCTCTGCTTTAAAAAAAGAAGAAAACATTTAGCAAAATGTGTAATACGGTCATATCGAACACAGACGTATACTTGGGAAACAGTATTAGAGTCTGTGAGTTTACCTAAAGACATTATTTCCTACCCACCCACCCATTTGATTTTAAATAAATACAGGTAAATTGCCATGCAAAAAAAAAAAAAAACCCCAATAAACAACAAATACTCAGACCTAAAGTAAGCAACAGTTTGACAAATGAAACCAAACAGTATGTGCTTTGGTATAAATCTCCCTTTTTTACTGCATAAAAATTCTTTACAAATGAACACATCTTACCTTGTGAAATTAAGAATATAAAACAATCAAGAACGTGGACATAAAATACATTTTTTAATGAATTCCTTGGGTCAAAAATCAATCCTAAAGTAAAAAACAAGTAATTCTGGCTCTGACAAAGATACTTGTGACAATAAAAACTCAAAAAACATGCTTAAAGCAAATGCTGTATATCAGTCAATTAATTTAATTATGCATGGAAAGAACCTAAGAAATATCTGACCATTAGAAGGAATCACAAATGCTTTACTTTTATGTTATCCCAGCAAACAGACAGAAATCTTGCTATTACAAAATTACGACAGTAAGAACAGTGTAAGGCAGGTCTATAGTAAGCCTGGCTAGGGTTATGGGAACAGGCCTATTGGTCATTACCTTAGTCTATGGCCTTCATCACATCTGACTAGACCATTTATTACATCCCTTCTAATACCTGAAACTAAAAAGTTTCATAGTTTGAAATCAACCATAACTAATGTTACTCAGCTGTATGTAACACTAGGTAGTATAACAAATCTAAGTATCAGCAGATACACAAATCAACATTTGGTATATATTAAAGAAACAAATTATTTTACCTGGCTTTGGAGTTGTAATGCCGGCTTGTTTTCTAACATAATCAACCACTTGACCCAATTGGTTTGAACTACAATACTGGACCTCATTATCACATATGTAACACCTGTGTCCCAAAAATCACAGAAAGAAAAATGACAAACTGACAACTAAAAAGGGGGAGATAAATAATAATTCCTGGAATCCAAAGTGTGTAATGCCAACTTATTCTATTAAAGAAACTGAACATAAAAATTCTGTTTTCCTGAAGAAGACAGTGCATATTTACTCTGGTTTATTATTAACAACATTTGCCAGAATTACAGCTGCATGTAAGTAGTACGATGAAATACCCCAAATATTTTATTTTACTGGTTATAACACTG